CACCCTTTGGGAGCGTAGTTCATAATGTTAGGGAGCGCTGAGCCTCTGCCCTCGGCCTGACATAGCCCCCCCAACCGACGTGCCGGCTACGGTTACGCCTCTTCTGTTTCGCGTCTGCTCAACATCCACGACCACCACGACCACGATCCACCCGTCCTCTCTCCCCCTCCTCCTTCCCGCAGACAGCATCCTCCGCAGTACTACCAGGCCGTCCACCATCGTCGCCTATCATGGCTAGTGGCAGCACATCGTCGAACGTCGTGGGCGTGCACTACCGCGTCGGCAAGAAGATTGGCGAGGGCAGCTTCGGCGTCATCTTCGAGGGCACCAACCTGCTCAACCAGCAGCAGGTCGCGATCAAGTTTGAGCCGCGCAAGAGCGACGCCCCGCAATTGCGCGATGAATATCGCACCTACAAGATCCTCGTGGGCTGCCGTAAGTCTACTCTTCTCGTTGCCCCCTTTACTACATCCATGGCCTGGACCCTGATGTCGGTCGAGACCATGCTTGGTCCCATATCCCATCATCGGTCGCCCTAGATTGCACATGCGCCGTCTGCCGTATCCATGGCCGTCACACCGTCACCGAGTCTTGCACTGCGCTGTGTCGGTCTGCTGTCGTCGTTGCATGCAGCCACTAGTCTGATCGTCGGTCGCCTGACCAGACTTCACCGACCTTTTCTTATACACCGTCCACAAACAAACGCGTATCAGTATGACAAGCATCGTCGCTAACTTTCTGCAGCCGGGATCCCTAATGTCTATTACTTTGGCCAAGAAGGCCTGCACAACATTCTGGTCATCGACCTCCTCGGGCCCAGTCTCGAGGACCTGTTCGACCACTGCAACCGCAAGTTCTCGATCAAGACGGTTGTCATGGTAGCCAAGCAGATGGTACGTCGTCTCTACAGGGGTCACGCCATCACCTACTCACATGAATTCTAGTTGTCTCGAGTGCAGACCATCCACGAGAAGAACCTCATCTACCGCGACATCAAGCCCGACAATTTCCTCATTGGACGCCCTGGATCCAAGAGCGCCAATGTCATTCACGTGGTCGATTTCGGTATGGCCAAGCAGTACCGCGACCCCAAGACGAAGCAGCACATCCCGTACAGAGAACGCAAGTCCCTGTCGGGAACTGCCAGATATATGAGTATCAACACTCATCTTGGCCGCGAGCAGTCGCGACGTGACGACTTGGAGGCTTTGGGTCACGTCTTCATGTACTTTTTGCGCGGTGGCCTTCCATGGCAAGGCCTCAAGGCTGCGACAAACAAGCAAAAGTACGAGAAGATTGGCGAGAAGAAGCAGACTACTCCCATCAAGGACTTGTGCGATGGCTTCCCAGGTATGTGCATCGCGTACAAGCCGTCCCTCTACCTTTACTAATCATTATGCAGAGGAGTTTAACAAATACCTGAGCTATGTTCGCAATCTCGGTTTCGAAGATACCCCCGACTATGACTACCTACGTGAGCTTTTCACGCAGGCGCTCAAGAGCACGGGAGAGGTCGAGGACGGTGAATACGACTGGATGAAACTGAACAACGGAAAGGGATGGGAGGTTCTCAAGAGCCATCCATCAGCCGTCCAGGCGATGCACCACTCGAATGCCAACCAGAACTCCTCCATGGCTGTGAACCTCCAAGGCGGACAACACAGGCAACAAAAGACTCACCTCCCCATCGACCACCACCGTCTCAACGAGCCACTACCCAAGCCCGGAGCGACTCGCGCCCAGCCCGGACGCAGTCCACGGGACAATATGAACCGCGATTCACAGGTCAAGAGGAAGAGCATGGGAGAACTTGCACCGCCAGAAGGAGCCTCTACCCAGGCCCAGTTCCAACACAGCCAACCGAACCTGGCAGCAAATCGGGTGAATACAGGCGCGAGCCCCAATGCGCCTCAGCAGAGACGACAGGAGCCCGAGAAGCCGAGCTTCATGCAAAAACTATCGAACATTCTCTGCTGCGGCGGCGGAAAATAGTAATGGCCGCCTGATTCACCAGTTCAGTTCCTTTTGCGTTGCATCCTGGAGTCCGTCCTTTGAGCGACAGCTTTTCCTCGGTCACGTTCGTTTCCTGTATAGGTATATTGTAATGAATGATAGACGGGCTCGAAAATCTCCTTCTACGGGTATGTTGGGTTTCCATTTACGACCACGGACCGACCGAAGCACCTCCAGCCAAGCTTGGACTCACTCCCTTCCTCCCCCCATCCCACCCCTCGACATCATCCATCCTTTTCTCCCACTCTGTGCTCCCGCGTTGCGAGTCTACGGCAGCAGCTGGCAAATTCTGGTGGGAGTGGTTTTAATCTGGCGTCTTTGGCGTAGTGCGCGCTTGGAGAGATTTCGCAGTTGTAGCATCTCATATTAGTACTTTTCCATCTTTTTTTCGCGGCATGGGCAACGATAAAAACATAGCGTGTAGAGGAGAGAGTTGTTTTGGTAGCGAAACGGGGGGTTTGCGGGAACTGCCAGTCATGCGACGGTACCAGGGCGAAGGGCGAGGTTGTGGGGATGTAGGTAGCCCGAGCCTGGAGGGTAATGTAGTGTAGACGGCAGTTGAAAGCGTAGACGAACCCCCCAAGTAGTAGTGCCTTGCCGTGTCATGCCTTGCCTTGCCTTGGGTACTTTTACATACCTTGCCTTGATGCAACCCGTGATGATCCGCCCAAGCCCAGCCTGGCCGCAAACGTTCTAGGTCAACAAGTCCACGACGCAAGCCACGCTATCAGAGGGAGCTATGACCTTGACATGTTAGGTTTCGCAGTTGCTCCCTCTGCGACAGACACTATTGACGACGCCCACCGCTCTTCTTTCTTTTTGCACAAATAAACTGGGGGCCTGGCTCATTGCATAAACCGGCTAGGTACGTACACACGACCCATGAATTCCCTCGTCGTCGTCGTCGTCGTCGTCGTCGTCGTTTGTTGCTTTGGTGGTTGTGATTCTGGCGTGCAGAGTGCTGACCGGCGCAAGGTTGGGCGACGACACGTGATCGAAGTCCCGCCACAAGGGTCTCTGTGCGAATTGGCGGCCATCTCAACAACTGTTGGTCTGCTCAGTGCTCAGTGCTCAGTGCTGTCTGCTGCTGCTGTTGTTTGTGTCCCTGGTGGCCCGCGCAAGCCACGGTGGTCAGAGAAGAGAAAGAAAAAAAAAAGACAAGCCTCCAAAAAGCCTTGCATCGCCAGCACCAGTAGCCAGCCAGCACCAGAGTAGCCCAGAGCCCACACACACACACTCTCTCTCTCTCTCTCCCTTCCTGTCGAGCCTGCCTCATCCGTCGGACCCGACCGTTGCGACAGTTGCGATGGCGTCGGGACGCGATGTGCGCGACATGCTGGGGCTGCCGGCGGGCGGTGATGCGCCCAAGGCAGCCTCTGGTGCTTCAGCGATGGCCGCCGCTCCGGCCGCGCTGAAGCGACCTGGTGGCAAGCCTGCTGGGGGAGGAGGCAGCAGGAAAATCCGTACGTTTGGCAACTCTTACGTCTATCCCTGGGAAATGGTCAAACGGGCGAGACTGACTCTGATTCGACCAGAGGGCGTTGCGCGCGAAGTTGCTGCGCTGTATGGCGAACGGCCGCCTCCGGTGGCCGTCTACGAGGAGAAGAAGGCGTATCGGGCGAAGAGGCAGAGTACGGGGCCGGCGAAGAAATGGTATACTATCATTCTATCATCTCCCTTTCCCTCACCCTCACACATGGCCATCATCACCCTCTTGAGTGAGCCACGGCTAATCCAATCTCCAGGATCCAACAACCCTTTACCAACCCAGCCCGCCACGATGGCCTTGTCCTCAAGCACTGGCGGCGCAAACCGACCACTGCACCGCCCGTCCAGGAGAGCGAAGACGCGCCCATGCAAGACCCAGAGACATCAGATGGTTACGTCGAATCGTGTACAGAATACGTCAAGTACGACATCAAGGTGGACATGCCCACCTTTACAGACGAGGAATACGATGCGCATCTACGGAGCGACGACTGGAGTCGCGAAGAGACCGACTACCTGTTCGAAGTCGTGCAAGACTACTCCTATCGATGGGCTGTCATATGGGATCGTTACGAGTACGAGCCATCAAGAAATCGCGTGGCATTCGACAGCTCCAACTCGGAAGAAGCCCAAGCGCTGGCCACAATGCCATTTCCGCCTTCGAAGAAGCGGTCGGTAGAAGACCTCAAGGCCCGGTTTTACGAAATCTCCGCAAAGCTCATGAAACTACGCATCCCCGAAGTCAGCATGGACGCCGACCAATACAGCACCTACGAAATGCTGACCAAATTCGATCCCGTCATGGAACGGAACCGAAAAATGCTTGCGACTGCGCTGATCAATCGCACCATGGACGAAGTCAAGGAAGAAGAATTCCTCCTCACAGAACTCCAACGCATCAACATGGCCGCCAACCGCCTCGACGCAGAGCGCGAAGAGCTGCGCGCCCGTCTTGAAGCACCCACACCCAATCCATCAGTCTCCGCAGGCCTGCAATCCTTTACCTCATCTCAAGCCTTGCAAGCACTCTTCCAACAACTCTTCCAGCAGGATCGCAGCAAGAAACGCGCGTCCGGTGCCACCGGTACAGGACCCGGTCGTCTCAGTCTCAGTGCAAACGACATGGTACACACGCCCGGCTCCGCACAACAGCAACTCAGTGCGGCCAACCGAAGGACCAGCATGGCACAACACACACACACGGCCTCTACTGCCCAAACTCCGGTCAAGCATCTCTCACCACACCAAGAACATCGGTTCAACGTCTCTACCCACGAACGTCTCACCTCTGGCGTCACCTTTGGTTCGGACAAGCTGCTCAAAATGCGTCAAGCAAAGTCGAATGTGCAAACCCAGAAAATCGCCGCTATGCTGGCTACCCTTGGTGTCAGCGAGGTCATCAGTATACCCACGAGCAGAGTGGCCGACGTGTTTGAAGGTCTAGTCAGCAAAGTCAGCAAGTTACTCGATGTACGCAAAGTCCGCGAAAAGGAAGAAGGCGAATGTAGAGTCCTCTTGGCCATGAAGGAACGTCGTGCTGCCAGTGGCCATGGTAACGGTGGCAACGGTGGCAGTGGCAGTGGTGGCGGAGGTGGCAGCAGCAGCGACAACAGCACAAAAACAAAGCAAGAAGTCGGCTCCACACCTGGCGCCGACGCCGACGCCGACGGCGAAGCCGAAGACGACGAAGACGACGTGAACAAAGACTACGAGGACGCGGATGCGAAATCGGAAAACGACGAGGACGGAGACGCAGAGGCCGATGACGATGATGAAGAAGAAGAAGAAGATGGCGGGGGCTTCAACGGCCAAAATGAAGACGAGGATGACGAGGATGACGAGGGTGATGGCGATGGCGATGTTGATGCCGAGGGCGAGGATGAGAGTAGTAAACAGCAATCTAGGGCGACTAGTCAGGGGGCTAGTACTACGATGGCGGCGGCGGCGGCGGTAGGACATAAGAGGAGTGCGAGTGTGTTTAGTGCGGGGAGTGGGGAGGATGTGGTGGGTAAGAAGGCGAGGAAGTAGATGGGGTGTGTGGCTTGTGGCTTGTGGTTTTTCTTTCAGCTTTGGAACTTGAGCCTGGGCTTTTCTTTCTGGTGTGGGGGGTGGAGGGAAGAAGGGGGTTCTTGCTGTTGATGCATAGCGTTGGCGTTTTGCGGTCCGGGTTGCGGGATGCGGGTTTGTCGGTCTTGTACTGGATACTATGGATAGGGATAGGGATATGGGTGGGGGGGTTGACATGTTTTGGGGGTTATCTTGGTCGAGCCGAGTCGAATCCGGTCAGGGGAATCATTTTCTGGCATGCATGCGTAGGGTAGGGTAGGGATGGGGTTGGCTTTGTTGGGGAGGGTTGTGTATGTTGCATGGCTTTTTGGGGGGGAGATTCATGTTATTTTTAGTGTTGTGTTGAGAATACATGGTCGTTTTTGCATGGGCTTTTTTGGTGATGTGGTGTGTATTTTGTTGTTTTGGGGGGGTGTTGCTGGATTGGAGTGGATTGGGCTGGACTGGGCTGTATGCATTCTTTGGGTTTTACGATGGGGGAATGCGTGTGGAGTGCATGGAGAATGCATGGGGAGAGTTGGTGATGGGAGTATAGAAAAGATAAAAACAGACAGTGTCGTCGCAACCACCATCACCATCCCACACCACCCCCCCTTTCCACACCTCCACCCTCACATCTTCGCCTTCCCCCCCTCACCCAACCGCTCAAACAACGGAGCCCCCCTCCCACCCCGAAACAACGCCAACATCTCCCTCCCCATCCACGCCTCCCTACTCCGCGCCAACCCACGCTCCAAATCCGCAAACCGCCCACCCTGCACAAAGATGCCCGCCCCGTTACCCGCCCCCCCTTGCTCAAACAGCCAACACACAGCCAGTGCAACATCCTCGGCCTTGTTGATCGGCACGCCCGCGCTCGCCATGTCTCTTGCATACGCGTCTGGCGTCGTCGTCGCCGTGGCCGTGGCCGTGGGACTGCGCCGGCTGGCTGTTAGAATCGGTGTGACGGTGATGCCGGGGGCGACGAGGCTAATGGCAATCTTGAGCTTTGCGCATTCTTGCTTGAGTGCGCGCATCAGGCCCACGATGCCGTGTTTTGCGGCGGAATAGAGGGGTGCGCCGGCGCTGGCGAGGTAGCCTGCTAGACTGGCTGTGAGTACAATGGCGCCTGCGTCTGCGTCGTCGTCGTCGTCGGCGACCTGGGTCCTGTTTTTCCGCAGGTAGTGGATGGCGAGTTTGGTGGTGTCGACGGCGGCGTCGAGGTCGATTGCGAGTACGCGTTTGTCTGGTTGGGCGAGGAGGCCGTCCTCTGGGTCGAGGGTGTCGGAGAAGAAAGGGTCGCCGTGTTCGGCGATGCCGGCGTTGACAAAGACGTAGTCTATTCTTGAGAATTTCTCGAAGCCGGCGGCAAAGGCGGCGCGTTGAGAGGGCCAGGAGGTGACGTTGCAGGGGTGGAAGAGGGTGTGGGTTGCCGGGTGGGTGAAGGTTGGGGGTGGGGGGTGCAGGTCTAGGAGGATGAGGTTGTGGGCTGGGTTGAGGGTGGAGAGGAGGCGGGCGGTTGCGAGGCCGATTCCTGAGGAGGAGCCGGTGATGAGGATGGTTTTGGGGGTGGATTGGAGGGTGAGGAGGGAGGAGGGGGTTGGGGTGAAGAGGGTCATTTTTCTTTAATGAGGTTGAGTAGGGATGGAAGATGATGAGGAGAGGGGTTTGATGCGGATGCGAAGGTATGGCATGAAAAGTAGTTGATCATGGAGATGAGTGGTGTGTATTTTGGAAGAGGAGAAGATGGAACAGAGATGCGAGTGAAAGTGATGCCGGCTAACTTTGGTCGACTCGCAACTTATTTACCTAGGCAAAGTCGTCGTGTTCCTGGCAACATGCGGGGTCAGCTTGTGAGGAGGTGCTTCTGGCCGTAGATCTGGCCGTAGACGATAGGAGACGAAACGAAACGGAAGCTTGCGGTTTCTTTTGGAGATGCTATATCCATACTTTGCCATGGACGGTAGTAGCAATGTCCCAAAGGTGAGGATGAGTTGGGGTGTACGACATGTTGGAGCGACTCGATATCTCTTTCTATGATAGATCTACAGGTGATTCCATCATTTTGAAATTACCTGACCGTAGTCCGGCCACAGACGACAAAAGATGTCAAAGTGAACAGGAAAGATGCAAATGCTGCAAGATACGAACGCGCCAAAGAAGGAGAGCATGCACCAAACAGCGCCTAACCGCTTTGGGAACGACACCTGGAGTTTCCCAAATGTTCGCAACCAACCGCGACCTCCAGCTTTCAAGTGAAACCTCCAGCAATTCGCTCCCCTCCTACTCAGACTCCGCGATACGGCTATTTCCCCCCGGCGGAGCATCTCCATCAACAAAAATGTGGAAACCCACTGTACTGCTTGCCGCTGCGCTGGCCGTGCCCGCCCATGCCTTGCACTTCTTCATGGATGGCCCGGTCCAAAAGTGCTTCTACGAGGAATTGCCCAAGGACACATTGGTAGTTGGTAAGCAAGCACCTTTTCCTTTCCTCTCTTATCCATTTCTCGGGCAGGATATTCAAGGAACATGTGGAAGGGGTGTCCAAGGGCTAACATGACCCGCGCTCCAAGGCCACTACCACGCCGAAGCCTGGGACGACGCAACCAAAACCTACCAGACCAAAGCCAGCGACAACGTCTTCGTCACGGTGGAAGAAACCTTTGACAACAACCACCGCATCGTCGCCCAGCGTGGCTCCGCAAAGGGCAAGTTCACCTTCAGCGCCGCAGACGGCGGCCAGCACCGCATCTGCGTGACGCCGCAGAATGTGCCCAGCGGCGGGGGCTGGCTGAGCAGCGGTGTACACGGCACCGTTCGTTTTACGCTGGACATGGCGATTGGCGAGACGAGTCGCATCCAGAGCGCGGACAAGGACAAGGTGGAGACGTTGGTGGAGAAGGTCAAGGACTTGAACTCGCGGTTGCAGGATATCAGGAGAGAGCAGGTGTTTCAGCGGGTACGTTTGTTGACCGACAATCTACGGCTGCTGTCCATGGGACAGCATGCATGCTATGAGACGACATGACAACTAACACGTGTACGCGCATACAGGAACGTGAAGCGGAATTCCGCGACCAGTCTGAACACACCAACTCTCGCGTCGTGCGCTGGACCATGATTCAACTCGTTATTCTGGGTGTGACTTGCGCGTGGCAGCTATCGCACTTGCGCGCCTTCTTCATCAAGCAGAAGCTCACTTGAGCTCCGACTTGAGTCTGGTAGCAGTAGCAGTTCTGCTACTCTAGCGAAAACCATAGAACGAGGCGTGAGGAAGCGCGGACGGGGGGGAAGAGGGCACTGAATCCATGGGTTCGGGTATGCATGATTACAAAACACTGCATTTGCATAGTACGTACTGTAGGGTAATGGCGTTTTTGAACAGGGACACTGGGGGGTTAGTTTAGCGGCCTTTGGTGTTTGGGAAGAATATGATGTATGATGCTAAAACTCTCTCTCATTGCTAAGTTAATTGCTCTCAGTGCAAGTGAGGAGTTGGTAGACTACAAGGTCACACTGGAAACGTCCAGTTCTTCGTACTGCTCATTCAGTCTCTTTTTACAGAAAAAAAAATCTTATTTCACGTGGCGATAATTTCCTAATTGCGCTGGAGGCTATTATATGCAAATCTCGACACTACCTCCCAACTCAAAAAGGCTCAAATACTATATACATTCTCCACTCCAGACCTGCATCATACTATCACGAGGCATGATCGGTAGTCAACCCCCCCTGTGCTAACATGATTTCGACGCCTCAGCCTCTAATTCCCGGGAAACGTCTGATCGGGCTTGAGCGCACATCCGACATTCCTAAAGACGGGATTCAACTTGGCGACGCCAAAGTTCAAGAGGGAACCCGTGATATCAGTGACGGTGCTCAAGCTAGCAGGAACGACACCGGTACCAAGCTGATACAGCAGACACAAGAGGTCAGACTCAGTCGCTTCGGTAGGGAGCTTGCCATCAGCAAGGATGCCGATAGCGCCGGGAAGGGCATTGAAGTTCTTCTTGCCAACGTTTCCACCAAAGAGCTTGGGATATTGCGCATACATGGCTAGGGTCTGGGTGGTGACGTTGACGTGCGAGTAGGGGGACCGGCGATTGAACCAGTTGGAGGGAATCTGCTCGGCGACATGGCGCCAGCCGCCTGGGGCAGACAAGTCTTCGACTGCACCGAAGAAGCTCTTCATGGTGGCCAGATCGGCGACGCCCTCGGGACCGTAGCTGGGGAACAGCTCGTACAAAAAGGAGGCGGCTCCGTAGAGAAGCACGGACAAGGGGCCGAAGAAGAAGTTGTCGTTGGTCGCTACGGACTCGTCGTACCGCTGGCTGCGGTATGCGGCGAGGGCATTCAAGTCAAACTTGCCGCCAGAGACGCGGTCGGCGACGCTCTTCATCGAGGCGAAGAGGGTGCCGTTGAAGCTGTAGTTGTCGCCGTTGTTGAGGAAGTAGTCGTCCCGGGTCAACGAACTGTCAGCTTCGAACTTGAGACGTGTGTTTAGACCAGGCTGTCTGCCGAGAATGGGTAGCAGAGCGGTGCGTGAAGTGGCATCACAGCCAATGCTCAACTTGCCAGTGACGACGTCGCCGCCAGCCTCAATACCGAGCACGGCGAGGAGAACGGCGAGGTCGTAGCCGACGTTGTAGACATTCTGCTGCGCGTCGACAAGCTCAGTGAAGGTCACGACTCCATCGTGGGCAAGGAAGTTGTGGTTTGCTGCTGCGTTGAGACCAGGACATGGGCCACGAATGTCTTTGGGGCCTGGGGGTACGAAACGATGTGCGGTATCACCGTCAGCGGGTACTTTGATGCCACCCTTCCCTGTTCCTGGCCGACCATTCTTGGCGCCCACGTAGGTGTAGGGTGCCGTGTAAGGCGCTGCGGGTTGGTGATTGGCGTTGAATGGGCAGGCAGCCTGCCTCTTCTGTGTGACAGCGCGTGCTTCACGTGCCTCTCTGAATAGGGACGAGTCGACACCGGGACTGCCAGCTACCCATGGGAAGGCAGCGGCGGAGGAAGCAAACAAGAGGAGAGAAGGAAGAGTAAGCATGATGAAAGGTCTTGCTGTTGTCTAGAAGGAGCGGGGGGGTGCTCAGCGTGCAAGGCCTGCCGTATCCATCTGCACATCCTCATGGACGTCTTTATGTTTGACTTTTTTCACACAACGTGGGTACCACTCCCGACAACAGGGCTCACTTGGATCGATAGTCCAAATGGCCAAGGTATATTTCATAAGATAGTCATTCTGCGAGGACTTGCTGCAACGCCATTTTTGAATCCGGTCTTTGTAATTGGGCCAGTGGCATGGTCGCGCGAGTGCTAGCGAATGATCGACAGTATCTGGGGGAGATTGACGTGTATGAGGTCATATTCGGGGTGTGTCGTTGGTTTTTAAGCCTAGAGGCGCTGTCCAGATGAGAAATGATCTCTCAGGATTCAGCTGCAGTGCACAGGCTCACGTTCACAATGTGGTTGTCAGGGGTCAAGTGGCGTACGGAAGGTTTACATTCGGTCTGTGCTAATTCACCCATCTCACTTAATTCGTTACCAGCGCAAGGCTGATGTAGATCTCCTTCTGCATTGAGGGTGCTTCCATTTTATGATCCAGAGTGACGGTTTGCGGGGGATCTTCCTATCCAATTGCGTGTGATGCATTTCTACTCGCAGTGACAATAGTTCCTTGCATTGTGGGTGGGTGATCGACGAGAACGACTACACTTGGTACTGGTTACACTCACACATACCGACGCAGCGTCAGTGAGCTGTCCCCAATCCGCATCACTTCGCCCTGGCAGGTAGATAGGAACACATTTTCGGGCAACGACGAAATCCAACACAGTAACCCGCGTGGAGAGTGTCTCTATAGCAGGTTTCTTGCCATCGATTCATGACAAACCGAATGAACTGCATGGAGACTGACGAAATTGTCAAACGTTAATTTCTCTCACAACAATCGATCAATTAGCCACAGCTTACATCACACACATAGATTGTGGCGTACAATAGCCATGTTGAGATACATGTCACTGCTCAAACATTCGCGCCACCCCGTTCTCTTCGCAGTCATTTCGCGAGGTCCCCAATGTATCCCTTACGAGATGGTTGGGCTGAAATTATGAATGTGCATGGTCTCCTCATTCGGAAATAAGGAGATACTCTAAACAGCCACCGAAAAAGTCCCACACTTGGGCGTGAACAGCGGCTGTTACCACACTCTTCTAGATCCACTCCATGCTATTGACGGCCCCAGTGGCAGTGGGTTCGAGAAGCAGGTGGGGTACCGCAAAGGATCTCCGCAAAATCTCGGAATTTCATCAAAGTATGGTAGACTACCAGTTAGGTAGATCCCGCTCGATGCATTTGATTGGGTAGCATGACAAAGTAAACTCCAGCCAATTGACCGAAAGTGTGCCTATTAGTGGTATCATCTAGCCCACATCATGAAGAGCATCAGCCAGCCACCATATAGCATATGCACAATCTCGAGAATCTGTTCGAAGCAGTGGTGTACTAGAATGTCCCGCTCAGGGATTCTCCTTCCTGGATCGTTCTGCCGTCTAGATCTCAACATTGAACTTAAGACGTCGATTGTAGTTCCCAGCTCATGCAGAATAGTTAGCTAAACTCTTAAACCTGAACCATGGCCGTGCGTGTGCATTGCATGAGCTGCCCAGAACGCGTGGACTCAGTCTAATGGCAAGTGGACGTGATGTGCGGTATAAGCTCGGTTTGATTGGCAGATGAGAGCACAGTAGAGTTTCACTAGTCCCTTTGGAGCAGGCGATGCGAATGCATTTAGGGATGAACAAACTCTACTTTAGGAGACATGTAGGCAGAAGAAGTGCTGCTGCTCTATTCCATTAGACAGACATGAAAGTGTAAGCGGGCTAATGGCTACGTCATCCGTTGAGGAATATTGGATTCCTCGCATAATTTGCCATGGTGATGGGTGGTAGAAGAAGAATCCAGAAGTTAGCCGGGCCAGAGGCATGGATTGACTGAGGTGCCATTGCCTCGATGAACCTTAAGTAAGTATGAGAGGACTCAATGTGGAGGTCGTAGTAGAGGTGTTGGTAAGGAGGCTATGAGGCTATGAATCATGTTAAAACTTTCTGTCATTAGCAACAAGCCCACCATAATGCCTCATTATCAATGACTTCTAAGTCTCTTATTCGAGAGCGGTATCTTTATCGAATAATGCCCTCAGGGCTCCTATGCAGACCAATGTCCAGGACAATAAATGGACGCAAAAACCAAAGTCTCTGTAGTGTTGAGCGGCCGTCGTGCATTCCGACCCTAATCATAGCCAATATCAAAGAGATTACGAGCAAAACTATTTATTAGACATCTCATTTTTTGTGCGTACATACACTACAGATCAACCCCATGATGACCAGCCAACGCACAAGCACGTGACCATGTAAACCTATCCCACAACGTCCGTCCACGAGTCACAACGAACCAATATACCGCTTACCAACCACGTGGAAGCGGGGACAAAAGCTACCTGCAAGTAAGACGGAAACCTCACCCGACAATGCGGTAAGATCGTCCTCAGCTAGTAGAGTATGAGGCGAGTCAGAAATGTCAATCGTTTCCTAAAACACGGACGGTAAATTTTGATGAGGGAATACGTGAGTGCAGAAGCGGTTGGTGGACTTTTCAGTTGTTGAAATGAATTAAGGGGATGGCTGAAGGAACTTGAAGGAGCGTTTATCCTGTCCCTGTGTTGACGGGCAGATTTGTGAGTGCAAAGTTAAAAGCTTGTGGAGATGTTACATGTGACAATCATCATGAGGTACCTAGCAAGTAAGCACGTACGTCCATCATAAACGTAGAACCTGGTCTATGGAGACTGTGGATTTTGCCTCAGACCATCTGCCGATAGAATTTGTGAATATGAATCAGCCAAGAACCGGAGATATTCTCTGCGTGTGAGGACGGTCGACGAACCATTCGGCGCTCACTCTACATCAATAATTTCTCTTCCAATGACCTGGAAGTAGTCAGAGGTACTAGATTTCGCGAGTAGCTGCACTCTACAAATCATGGGCGTCGTCGGCGAATTGAGTATTAACTCAAAAGGAGTGCCACTACAGTCCGTCCATTCCAGGATTCCTGTGCCAATTTTTTTTTAAAAAAAAAGCCCAAAAGGCGACTGAACTGTAGTACAACAACTACAATCCTCCTCCGATGCAGCAAATGGATCCTTCATCCAGGGTAGCAAAGGTGGTCATGATACCACATCATTGGAGGAGGACGAGATCTGGCAATTGGCTGATCACCGACAGAAAACAGAAAACAGCTTCGATACTCACGCGAGTCTACCCAACCCATGCATGCACATGTCCATTTCTCAACGCACACACCACAAAGCACACCACAACATCCCAGCGAATCGATACGACAAGCGAGAAACACACTGCAGAAGCGCAAGGCTGGCAAGAACAAAAAGAGGGAAAAGCCATTCGGGGGGTGGTGTTGAAAAAAGTATCGAAATGATCTAAATTTGGCCCATCAGCTGCTGCTCACCTGTGCACGAAAGCGGCCGATACGAGGATTCGATGAAAAAATTCTCGGCCAGAGGTACCGGTATGTATTGTACAACTGTCCATGTGTACACTCGGGAACGAATGTCCCTTGTCAGCCGTTCACGCCGGCTGGCAAGAGCCGGACCACACACGGGCAGGGCAAAGTGAGAAGCCAACCAGCGGGCTGTCCTAGACGGTACCTACATGCGGTACCTACTGTACCTACCGTACCTACCTGTAAGACTGACCGAGACTAGAGATTGTAGATTACCGAGACGGAAGGCAGATCTGGGAGTGGGGACTGTAGATGGGGGGCTGTTTATCGTCAGAGCCCGTGCATGCACTATCAAAAGACCTGCAGTATTGTAGTACCTAGTAGATACCTGAACCTATACGATGCAGAGCTGTAGGTAGGTATTGTACGTTGCCAGCTGCAACCTTGTCAGCTGACAAGAGTACAGCTGACGAAGAGCTTTGCAAGCGTCCACGCAAGCCGTGTGTATCTACCGACCGACAAGCCATCCCTGGCACGGTACTGTCCACTCACCACGCCAGCTTATTCTGCCCTTTTGCCTTCTCCCAACATGCGGTGGAAGTTCGGAAACAAGAAGTCGTCTGTCTCGTACCAAGACAATGCAGTCCAATGTTGAGAAGCATTCATGGACCAAGCATCTGTCAGCAACGGTCCGACAAGAGAAAGGGAAAACCGCGGCTGAACAAGGGGCAATGCGGACGGAAATAAAGTAGTGCCGAGGAAAAACTGGTAAGAAACGGATGCTCCGATCGGCTAGAGTTCTGTTTGGGAGGGGGGGGCCGACGACAACAATGCAATGTTCGGGGATGGTTGTCTTGTTGCCGATGTGAAGCCGATGAGCCGCGGAATGCCGTGCCCAGCGAATGATGACGAGGATGAGGTGTCTTGCCAGTTTTGGCCGCGATGCAGGATGACTGTGTGTTGAGCTCCGAATTTTCAATTTTCTCTTCTTTTGGCGAAGAGACTGGATAGCCTGGTCAAACTATGTCTGGGAGGAGGACGAGGACTTGCTGCTTTTCCGCCTCCTCTCGTCTTTGATTTGTTCACACAGGCGATGATGGGACAGAAGTTCTCTGGGCATGAAGAGAGGAGTTTAGCGGGTGACAGAGAGAGCAAGGAGGCTTTGCGGATATGCAGGGAAAGCCGACGACGACGCAGGAAAACGGTCATCGACCAGGGTCCAGTCTTGGCGCGAACAGGTTTTCACAATGGCATTATTGGTGAATTGGGTAAGGGCTGCTGGTAGGAGTAGTAGATGTAGAGTACAGTACTCTATTCTACTATCATGTACTCCACTGTCATCATCTCTTCCCTTCTGCTTGCCAAGCACTGTGGCTGGGCGGGGTCAAATCAACGGTCTCCTGTTCTCCGTCTGCAGTCAGCTAAGAGGACGGGCCTGTGAACAGGTTCTGGGATATTGAAGTACTGTAGGAGTATGGATTTGGGTCCTGCAATGGGCGCCTCACTGCCGTAATAGGAGAACACTTGCTGCAGCCCATCATGGCCAGCGGGGGTCGTTGATAGTATGATTCGTCGTCGTTGTATATTGGCTGCATCATCGTTGTCACGCTTATGACGCAGTTTGCATACGGTTAAAAAAACCTTGGTGCCTTAGGCGTCATGATCGGCAAACAAGAGGCCTATTGCGTGTCCCCAGGTCCATCAAAGCAATCAGACATCAGGTGGATGCAGGGTCCAGTCCGGCGTGTTTCCACAATTACGTGGGGTCCCATGCGCGTGTTCCATTCCGCGAACCGTTGACGATCTCTTGTCTTCTGTGATGGTCCGACTGGGGTTTCCATACGTACTGTGCTGATGATGTGCCCTTTCGATGATGCCGCGATGAACAAGAAGAAAAGAGAAGCGACAGGAAAGAGGGAGAAACGGGTGAACAGCAAGGATACATTGTTATTAGCAAGAATGCGACAAACCTCGATCCTCTCCTGAAGCTGCATTTTTCCACAGCAGCACTGCATGTATGTACTGTACGGTAGGTCGAGTTGGGTAGAATGGACAAAGACGAGGAATGATGTCATGGACGTCCACTAGCGTCCCATGGTCAGACAAGAAGGCCGGAGAAGCACAGTGTCTCATCACAAAGCAAACAAAAAGGGTTGTAGAGTAGTACTTGGTTGCTCTCGAATATTTCCAAAGACTTCTTGGTGACAAATGTTCCCAACAGTGTACGCAGAGGAGACTCGGAAATGCATGCAGCACCGTGGCTTGTAAGCAAGTGTCGTGTGGCTGGTGACGGTGTTCTGCCGGAGTCCAGAAACCTCGGAGCGCCCGCGGATGCAGCCTGTGTGGCCTGTGCATAGGGCTGCACTGCCACAGGGTCCACCCCTCATTGCCCTTTCGGGATGCTTCGATGCGATGCCACGTTGCTGGAGGCTGTCATAACATGCTTGCAGAACGTTACAGAGACATTGTTCAGCACATGCGCCGTATTGTGAGGGTTGCGAATGCAGATTATTCTCAGTGCAAGTCTCAGGGCCGACTGACCGGCATGTTGCAACCTAACACTGACGGTAGGTCGGAGCGTACTACCGGGGCCGAGGATTTCACATGCTCCTGCTGTTGCATAGAGTAGGAGAAAGGTGGCCGAGTGTAGAGTTACTCTACAGAGAGCATTGTATAGAGCATGAACCATTCTACGAATAGTCCACAAGCCCCGCATGCGATAGCCCCATGATTGGGCCGCGGACACATCGGATTCCCAGCATCGTCGCTGGTTAGCCCACAGAGCGGTGCTTGGGCGCCGTTTTGCCACCCAGATTCAGCTTTCCATGGTTCGGGGTACTCTAGGCTTGTTGTTGAGAGCTGGATGAGAGCAATCATGCGCACGTGTAGAGTAGGCACATCCATCCGTCTTGCGTGTCGTGACTAACGTTGAGCTGGACGGACAAGTTGAGTCAGGCGTGGTGGCATGTGACCTGCCTTTGACAGTGCCTGGGCCTGTGGCTGACAGACAGTCGATGAGAATGGGTTATTTTCGGAGCGGCCTATGGATGCGACGGAGGGGTACGGTTGCCAGGATGGGATTTCGGATGGTAACCGAGAATGCAGACTGTCTGGAAATCTCTGTGAGAGCGAAGAAGCTCGTCTGTCGGGCCTAAGAGCATGCGGTACAGTACCGGCACGTAGGGTGTAGGGTAGGGAAGCGTAGTATGCAGTGCACAGCCTTCGGTGCTACAGGGTCCCGGGTGGTCGTACTCTCTATGCAGGTGTGGTAGCAGATCTCTTTCCAGAAGCTAGGCCCTGAACCCGCACTAGTCAACGCCTTGGCGCTTCATGGCGTGTGATCCCTGCAAGGCTGCGTCATAGCCACTCTATGAAAGAAGGGTCAAATCCCGCGCATACAGCATCCCCCAATCCCCGTCTACACACACATATACACACACATACACCCACCCACACACTCTTCACACCGTCTCACATCGTTGAGAGAAGACATTTCATTCCGCTTTACACCACTTGCAAGCCCAGAAAATTCGACTTTGCCGGGCCGAACTTTAGTACGGATTCCTTCCACCCTTATCCACACACTACTACCTCAAGATCACCTCATCGAGTGGTCTCTTGTCCAAATCGGCGAACATACCCGAGTCATCGGTGCAGACAGCTGCTAGTATAAAGCACTTGCCACCCCGCCCTGGGCCCTTACTCTCCCTCCCGATCACCATGCTAGCGCTACCCGCAAGACGTCAGCAACATCAACATCAACATCAACATCATCATACGCCAACCACATCGTCATCCTCACTCCCCACATACCAAGCATACCAACAACTACCTCCCTCTTTCCCGTCACAACAGCTCTTTGACCAAAAGCTGCTCAACGACTATCTCGAGTCTCAGCAGCAAGCATTCGGCAACGCCGTCGTCGACGTTGGCTCTAGCTCATACATGACGACCGCCTGTCCTGACTACGCAAATCCGAATCCGGCCATCCGCGTCCAACAGTGCACGCCAACACCCCCGTCCCAGCAGAACGGGTTCTCGCAAACGTCCATGCTGCCGACCAACACCAGTAGCAGTGGACGTGAGTCCTGGCAATCATCGTATGGTAACCTGCAGCATCAGTCTCTGCAGGCACCAGCACAGAACCGTGTCAAGGGTCACCAGCGTGCATCCTCGTCGTCGTCGTCTGTAGGCTCCAGCGCTTCACAATACCAATCGGCGACCCCGTCGACAGGGTACCAGTACGTTGCCACCAGCGGCTCCCCTTTGCGTTACCTTGCTGACAATTCTTCGAGGCCATTCAACCATCATCTTCCAACACCGACACATACACCGACACAAGACTCCTTTATGAACAGCAACAGCTTCAACAACTACACGCCCACGTCTGGCAACATGGATCAGACAATGGCTGCACACATGTCGATGAAGCAGGCCCTCATAGAGCAGAGCGACGAGGTTCCAGACTTTGCGCATTCGGCACGACAGTCAGTGTCCAGCTACGGCCACGACTCACCGGCAACACCACATACCGCACATGACGAGATGGACTACAAGATGTCTACAACTGGTGAGACTCTCTGCAAGGTGGACTCGTGGCTCTTCAACGAGTACTGTACTTACTATGACGACCTAGACTCGAGGCCGGTGCCCAAGTTCGAGAGGACTTATACAGACATCGCTGCCGACAACTTCTACGATCCTAACGCGGTGGCTGCGCAACCAGCGTCGCAATCAAAGCCGAGTCAGTCATCATTGTTGTCGCCATACCGAAATAACACGACGGATAATGTCCAACGTGCTCTTCAGGCCGCACAATACGCGCGCTCCCATTCACCCCCCAGCACTGCCTCGAGAGGCGATTCTCCATTCCGTCGAGGCTCACCTTACCGTCAACCGAGCAACAACTTTAACCCTGCCATGATTGGTAGTGCTGCAGCTACACGTGAACAAACTCGTCAAGCGGATGCAGCCTATGCGATGAAGTCGCAGATGCAGAACAACGAAGAGGCTGAGGTCAAGACAATATCACCCAAGGATGCCCTTCTGGACTACCGAGAAAATGATGAGGACTCAAAGGCACCACTGTTCCCGGAAAGTGGCGCTAACAAGTATGATGGCCAATACAACGGTGGCGACCAATACAGAAACGCCACACTATCCAACTTTGACACTACATCATCACAATCCTTCCAACGCGAAAACTGGCAAACACCGCAATACTCTCAGAATTATTCCACTGCTTCGGCCCCATCACTACAGCAGTCACCTGGTTTCAACTTCATCACGCCATCATCCGTGCAAGCCAATCTACACGGGCTACCGTCGGCGGCCACTTCCCAGTATCGCTCCACGTCGTCCAACATGTCATCCGCTGTGGATCAAACACCAGAATTCCCAGCGCATTTGACATCAATGGAATCGAGTGCCAGCGAGGCTGAGCCACCGAGTGGCAGCCAGAACAGCGCTCTCTCCGATCGTCATCTGACCAAGCCGGCGTCGACAGGCGCTGAGTCGGGGACGTATTCGTGCACATACCACGGCTGTTCGCAGCGTTTCGAAACCCCACAGAAGCTCCAGAAGCACAAGCGCGAGGGTCATCGAAATGCCAACCTCAGCAATGCGATGACATCAGCGGCTATCTTGGAACGCAACTCACAGGCGGGGCCCCACAAGTGCGAGCGCATCAACCCAACGACCGGGAAGCCTTGCAACACCGTTTTTTCTCGTCCGTACGACCTGACACGACACGAAGACACCATTCACAACGGGCGCAAGCAAAAAGTTCGCTGTGCACTGTGTGTTGAGGAAAAGACTTTTTCGCGCAACGATGCACTGACACGGCATATGCGGGTTGTGCACCCTGAGGTCGACTTTCCTGGAAAGCACCGAAGGCGAGGGGGGAACCATGACTGAGTGCGCGATGATGCTGTGCACCGAGTCGCCCAATGACCGCGGCGATTCACACACCCCGCAGCTATGACACGCACATTCCGGAACGCCCGCGAAGATTCGACGAGACTGCCCTTGACGGCCCGAAAATTCTGCGCAAAATCCATGAGCAGAATCAAGCTGCCGTCGATGTCTGATGAGCATTCCACGGTTCGGTTGTGCCGAGGCGAATGATGTGGCTAAGCCGCACTTCATTTGCATGTTTTTTCTTCTTTCGCATACCTTGCATCTAATCTCTGCATGTCTTCATACCTGGCTCCGATGTTGTACATTATACAATCGAGTTCGCTGGCCGAAACCCGATGCGGTTCCATTTCAGCTGTACATTATTCGCTTTTCACCCGTTCCACGCTGCTTTCACGCAGCCTTTTCGGGTTTTCCTGTTCTCCAGCGATCAAGCTAGCGGCTGTAGAGATGATTTCATGAAGACATGTGTTTTTTGGGGTCATGCGCAGCGGAAAAAAAAAGTCACGACGTCATAGTTGGTTTGGGTTTGGGTTCAAGGGGTGGTGTCTGGTTTGATTTGGCTTTGAGCGTAGATTTTTGTGTTGATATATCCGGCTCGAGGGAGCCTTGGTTTAATTTGTAAAAAATTTTTTTTTGGCAATGTTGAGTGCATGCTTGTTTGCTTGTAGTGAATAACGCTGCAACTGTGATGTATCTCTTCCTGTCTCCCTAGCAATCACACCTAGCTGTTCACTTTGCAACTCGAGAACTTGTTACAACACCGTTACATGTGTATAGTAGTGCCACCCGACTACTAGAAAATCAAAATCCATAGCAAGGATCAATCACTACAAAACCATGCAACAACTTAACTCCTACTTCGTCGCCCTCAAATCTTCATACCCAATCTAGCACTACAGCCGAATATCAAACGTTGAGTCACTAGGTACTCGTACACGTCCTCTTAGGCCGCCTTTGTAGTGTAATTGTACAGTAAGTTGACACGGGGTTTGAAATTTCTAGTCTGTGTCTGCGTATTTGGGTATTTATGTATTGTTTAATAGGGAGGAACATAGGGACATGTCTAGAATTTTTGAAGTATATAGTATACTGTAGCTATGCTATGGTATGCTATGTACTCTACCCTTTTTCTCTGCAGTGTTAGTAGGTACGCTACATACCCTCCTCTACCCTACCCTCAACACAAAGGACGCAAGACACCCACCCACCCACCTTACCACACCCTCCCCTCGCCCCTCCGCTCCCTCACCGCTGACTAACACCTCCATCCCCATCACTAACATCCCCACCTGCAACGGCCGCAGCCTTTTACCTACTTCAGGTTTAGTGCGCTCGCGGTGGGGCGGGCAGCTGGGGTGTATGTGTATCTGTGTGTGTGCGTGCCTGTCAGCACTTTAAAAACCCCAACTCTGGCTTATTCTGGCGTGTCAACTTAGTACTAGGTATAGAGTAGGACCTAGCTACATGTGTATGTACAGTGGGTACGGTACCATTATGCATGGGACAGGGTAAGCAGAATCTAAACCAGAACCTGAACCCTGGATATTACATACTCTTACTGTTAGTATCGTGTTATTTTAAGAGTACGGGGGAGGGGGAGGCCGGAATTCGGTGCCGTTGGGGGCTTGTTGGGCTGGGGGTGGTGGTGGGTTACAAATTACAATGTGGTATTGTATTGTTGTATAAGCTTCTGGTGGCGGGGTAGCACCGATCTCACGCGGTTGGCTTGGCGATTTTTTGTTGCTTTTTTTTAGGATGGGGGAGAGGGGTATGCATGGGGTTTTTGGTTCGATATACTGGTAGTACTACCGTTGGTACTTTGTGCGGTGCGTAGATATGGTATGGTATGCTATGGTACCATGCGTAGCTAGGATGGTACTGGTATGTTGCACCTCGGTTTAGGTGGCTATTCTACTGCTCAGTGTGAAATTAACATGGGAGTGGCCGGGTAGGGTTGTTGTTGATGTTGCTTTTGAAGGTGTGCTGGGGGGCTATTTCTAAGCATGGTTTGCTAGGGGAATAGCACATGCATGGGTGTTGTTTGGATGGATTGGAGGTAGAGGGGAGGGACGAAGAGATGCTGCCGAGGCTTCCGGACGGGGCGGATATCTATCATGACATTGTTTTTTCTAGGCTCTGCGGCGTGAGAACCGCGTATAGGTACGGTAGATGGTGGATAGTAGGTAGATGTGTGTGTGTCCCGAATGTGTCCTATCTACGGTATGTACACCATGCCCTCGCCAGCGCTCCAGAAAAAACGAACAAAGGAGCACGTTCGAGTGAGATGTTGAATCACTACAGTGTTCTCTATATGCACACTATTAAAAACCCCCACAGGCTCAGTCCTTTTGAAGAGAGATGATCGTTTCGCACCCAACGCAGGTTTTGGTCTGAAAGGGAAGCGTGGCCGGACCGTGGGTCTCCTTGTCTGCAGGGCAAGACAGGGAGGAATGGGTTGGTGGTTTGGCTTGGGTGTGGGTGTGGATAGGTGCGTTTCGCAGCTTGCTTAGTGCATACAATGGTAAGGTGTTGTCATGTGCGTAGGGCTGAAGATGTAGGGTAGATGTTGGAAGGAAGGAAGGGAGTGAAGTGAAGTGGATGATTAACCAGCTACGTACGCCTATATCTCCTCCTACTACTGTATGAGATGGTGGTGACTTGGTGGCATCTGGATGATTGGATTCCTAGAAAATGAAGTATTTCCTGCATACCTCGTGATTCACTCACTTTCTTAGGTCTGACATGAACGGCGATGTACCGTAGCATGGTCATGTTTCCTTCATACAAGTCACCCGTACACTTCCACCTGCACTGAGCGGCCCTTCTCTCATTCCCTTTCATACAAGTTACAACCGACTTCCCTACCATATGTACTAGTACTACCCAAGGTGTCATGCATTTAGTCCTACGCAAGCTATACTCGCTACAGAACCATACGCATACTCGCTAACCCAAGACACCGACGCAGGGCAAGATTTCGATGACGACCCGCTTGGTTTTGTACAATATGCAGAGTACTCTATCTGCGTGGTAGCGATTGGATCGTGTGGGACATGACGAGGGGCAGGGGTGAGGGCCTTGGTGTCGACGATCGTTGCGGGGTGGGCGGGGGTGGACGACTGCTTGGGCAGCGAAAGTGAGAGGATAGGGAAATGATGGTGAGGTTTTATGGTGGGTGGGTCGGTAGGCGGTCAGTTGAGTTGGTTGCGATTGGAGTGTTTCGGTAAGGAGGGTTGGGGTGAATACAGGTGGTCATAGAGAAGAAGTTTGCAGGTTGTACTGGATTAAAGCATGCGTGGTTTTCTTTAATACAATGGCTTGGTTATCCCACGAAAAGACAAGAGGTAGGTAGGCTTCCTTGGCAAGATTTGTGCAGTTTTCAGCAATAAATTTCTCAAGTCTTTACTGAACAAGTCGTTAGATGTCTAGTTATTACTCCGAACGTCCTCTTCCAGCAGTGAATCAAATACTTGTTCACGATTCTATTTCTCTAACAGTAATGTCAACAGGATATTAGGAATACATACTGTCATTAATGAAGAAAGAACTATCACTTGTAAATCATGTCATTAAGGAGAATTGTTCTAGTCAAGGAAAGCATAATGCCGTCAGCCTCTCGACCAAAGTCTTAATAGCAGTATCTCCGAAATGCGCGGGGATCTTCGAAGTAACTAAAATACCGTGCCGTAGGATGTTAAGTATTAAAGAATTCTTTCTGCTCGCGAGACTAAAGGAGGCAACATGCACACTATAGCATAGAAAAAGGTTACCTATACAAGTTTCGTTACACTCAGATAGGGAATAGCTTTATGTAAGTAGAGTTAAGTGATTAATACTGTAGCGATAGATAGTTCCTAAATAATGTTCTAAGGTTCTCTTTACTTCTTCACCTTCTTCACTTTTACCTTTACCCTTTATGAGCTCTCGTTCTTAAGAATTGCATATGTACACCACCTCCCTTAGGGCTATTTGAATTGAAGCGGCAGAGATGTTATTAATATTATTGCACGGTACCAAACAGTCATCTACGCATTTGCCAATTCATCCGCTGATCACGCTGATCTCAAATTGTAAATGGAATTTCACTATCGCCACCTCCAAAAGAAGACAGCTTAGCTGTTTCTTGGTGAGGCTAAGCTTTCACGGCAATGCCTACGTAACTTCCTTGGCAATACCATGAGCTAGCTTATGGAAATACGATAAAATGGCTTTACATCTATCTAGAAGCTTGATTCCTTGCAACTACCGTGGCCACGATAAGGACGATGACAAGCGTAAATGTCCAGGACGAGACATAGGAGACTTTTAGTATGAGGCTGGATCAGACTCGTTTGTAGCAGTTAGAACCTGACATCTTGCTATGATGATTACCACTGCGTACCATCTATCTCAATCTTTATAACAAGGTTTCTTTCACAGCTAGGCTACTGCTTCTACCTTCTAAAGTCTTCCAAGATTGTCCTGTCTTCGAAATGGGCAGAGCGGTCACTTCTACAAGTCAGAACGGCACTTGAGAATGCACCGGAACAATGAACCGGCTTGGAGACGTCTAAATCTTCTTGACAGAAACAATTATGTGATTTCTAACATCCATGCACTAGAACTCACGCGAGTAAATGTCTCAGATGAAGTAGTCATGTGCGTATGACATTTCCATCTTTTCAATTCATACTATCAGACCCTATTGCAATCTATCATCTTCGCCCACTCGGCCTGGAATCTGGCAATCACTCACTGTATACCAGGAAACCCTCCAAAAAGTCTTTAGAAACAATGTAGGCACCTGATATTTTTCTTCTCTTATACAATGACCAAGGTTCTACTTACAATGCACACATGCTTCGCGTGCCATGAAGGAACAAATCAACACTAATACTAGCACACACTGTATACCATATATCACTATTCCACAATTTACAAGCCCAGTCTCTAAACGCGGAATGTCAGGGTACTGACGATTAGCGACGAAGGGGGCACCGGTTTTTTATTCCTCCTCCTATTTCAATGCAAGATATTGTTAGCGCTACACCCGCTTTCCGACAGATCTCTCATGTATGCCACTGCCTATCTCCTCTCAAACTACGCCTTACAGTTCACCTGCAGCAGTCCCAAGACCTAGGCCAACACTACGCTGGCTATATAACGATGATGTTGGACCACGTACATTAAGACACGCCCTGACAATCCCGCGCTTTCACGATTGTAATCATTTTGTGCATGAGAATTGGAATGAATGATTGCAAATTGGCACATCCATCCACCTATTCTCCAGTCCTAATCGAAAACACTCGTACACTTCAGCTCACCTTCATTCCCGGATACACGGAGAAATCATGAGTTGCTTCACATAACACCAGCGCTTTGTTCGTGGCATACCTTGCATTCATTACACTGAACGAATATGAGACTGGGCGATGCTGTCCAACTGCGGGTCTTGAATAGTCCAGGGGGAGGTAATGATACGAGTAGGCAATGGTACAGGCTGTGGATCGGGTGGTTTGTTGTGTCGCTGTGTAGAGTATGCGAGTGTGGATGCTGTTGTTACCTGTGTTTTTAGGAATATAGTGAGGGAATGGGGAATTTCTCTCTGATTAGGTGGGAGCAGCCTTGGGATGGGATGGGAGGAAGAGGGAGAGGGAGAGGGAGAGGTGAAAGGAGTGAGGAGATTGTGTTGATGTTGGTATTGGTGGATGTAAATCTATCTCCTGACTGTCCTACTTAACAACCACCACGTTACATGGCGTTGGTTCAATTCCTAGTTCTGAAGAACTACCAGAGAACATTTGTGGATACATAGCCTCTCTGATATTACTGTCATCTAATTTTACCTCATGTTGAGAGCAATGTGGTCCTGGACCTATTACCGAACATGGGAGATTTATGGTGCCATGCTGTTATTTAGGCACAGGTTGCTCTGGATTCTGGCCAATGGGTTCTTAGGAGAATCTGGCAGACAGAGAGCTGGTGCGCTTTCTTAGGGAATTTTTCCTAGGGATTACATAGTTGCTGCGTCATGTGGCCCTGATCATAAATTTTTCCTACATGATGTTTGAACTCCATTGTATCATGAATCCTAGTCTTGTGGCGGAGATGTGAATTCTGTGGTACGGGAACGGCCAAAAGTCTCAGCTGGGGACGTTGAGAATGCCGAGATTACTGGATATATTTTGTGTTGGAATAGCCTTGAAGAAAGCGGTCTGAGGTGAATTCATAGCCACCATGCAATTCCTCTGATATTGGATAGGACCCTGCTTCCTAGGATGAAGGAGCCAGAGTGAGGGGAAAGTTTAATCCCTCGGATGCAGGAAGGGAACGGAACATGCCCCCTCCCGACCAGATCGTTAGCGATAGATTGTTTCTTCGTTTCAAGTGTGCTCGGTTGGCATAACTATGGAACGTTTTTGCAGCTAATAATAAAGAATAATAAAGAAATGACAATCAAATGCTTGGTTCGAGTAGGTCAAGCGGTTGCGAAGAGTTATTTGTGAGACCACGGACTTGCTCGTCGGACCAAAGTACACGGAAGCTGTACGTGTAGAAGAATCATTTCTCTCCACAGTGGGTCAGGATCTATGTCACTGTCGATGGCTTCGAGATGGGTACCTGGTGACATGGATGCGGAGAAATGAAGAAATCCGTGGCTTGTTAATATCTCGCCATAGTACGTCTCGTGGCCCAGATAAAATGGTATAGTGACACATGTTCAGCCTCAATGACAGCCGAGCCTGAAAGACCAGCATGGTGGGCCCCTAATGGGGATGAATGGCACTTTTTGAACCTGTGGATGATGCGATTGTGCTTGTCGAATCGATCGTCCTCGTCGTTGTAGTCATAGAAACAAGGGAAGACCGAGATGGGGATTGGAGCAGACGGTGGCAGTTCAAAAGCCGAAGGGCTAGCGGGGGGGGGGGGGTCAATACCCGATATGGCAATCCGTCATGGCTGGCGTGTGATGATCGAAGAGTTTGGTTGTGAGGGGAGTGGGTGGTGAGGAGGGATAATGAGTGTAGTGGACGGCGGGCGCCATCTGCCATCCAAACAAGCAAACTAGCTCGTAGCCATCTGTGTCTCGGTACAACTGGGCATGGCAAAGTTTCGAGGGTGAAGGAAAAGACGATGCCGGCATTCTCCACCAATCCCGGCGGCGAGAGTGGTGAAGCCGTCAGCCCATGTGTGGATGGAGAGGACGGCGGTGTTTGTAATATACTTGGCACCGCGTTACTCGAGCCAAACCGGGGCGGGGCCATTGGTGCAAAATTAGGCGCCTTAGCGACCGTATGGCAGGCCGACGGATAAATTCGATTCCCGGGCGCAGCGAACCGCACAGGGCCCGCCGTCGCAGTGCGCGTCTGCCACTCACCCAACCTGTGGCCCCAAAGACACAACGCCTAGTGCCCTTTGCCAACGGCATATTCACTCTCCAGCCATAGAGCGCAACTAGAGCGAGCAAACACACGGGCTGGACGGAGGCTTGGTGCTTCCCCTTGGGCCAGGATATGCTGCAATCTCACCATCTCTCTCTCTCGAGCCACCACCGCACCGTCCTCAGATCTACGCCTAGTCTTTTTTTATATCTTGCCTATAGGCCATCATTCGCCGGATGAACCTGGACTGCGACGCTGACACTGTCTGAGAGCCGCCTGCTATTTCTCCAGGCGCAGCCCCCACCCGCCCAACGACTTTGGAGGTTACGGAGATGGTAGAGACAGCTGAAGGGGAGCCCGCCAGCCAGTTGAATACCGCCCGTCGCATTCTCACCGAAGTCCAGTTCCGCATCAACGGCTTCAACACGTACGGCTAACATCACACTCTCGCTTTGTTGTTGTAGTTGCTGTTGTTGCCCATGATGGCGACTATGGTGCAGGCCGAGAGCGTGACCAGCGTGCCCACGCCCGCCCACTTCAAGGATTTCAAAGAAGGCGCTGTCATGGATGTGCAGGAGATTCCGAGTGGCGCCCGGCCCTCGCTCTTGATTGTGCACAATGACGGCGAGGAGGATATCGTGGGCATCTTCGCAGACGTCCTGGGCCAGCAGTGGGCGTCAGCGAATTCGCTCGACGATGCGACGGCAGGACCCCAGTCGACCGTCTACGGCCTCAGCAAGAAGCTGGCCAGCACACAACTCGCCAACTGGGACCGCTCGAGACTGCTCATTAACACGCACCGTGTCGACGGAGAGCACGACCTGGATGAGAGCCTCACGGACCGATGCGACTACGAATATCTCTACACACGCCAGCCCTTTTTTCGCCGCGACGTCGCCCGCTTCCTCTCTTTCATCCTGGGCCAAATTGGCCCTCACCGCGATCTTACCAAGAAGGCGCGCACCACATTGATCTCCACCACCTTTCCCGACGTACACGCCGCACTCCCCAACCTCGACATCCTCTCGGTAGGCGCAGACGCGATCGAGATTCGGGTGGACCTGCTCGAGGAGCCTCTGCAGGACGGAACAGTCAGCAGGATCCCCAGTCTCAAGTATGTTGGGGAGCAAGTCATGGTCCTGCGCCAGCGCACAGAACTGCCCATCATCTTCACGACGAGATGCACAAAGGAGAATGGGCGGTTCCCCATGGACGACCCCAACCTGTTCTACCGCTATCTGGCGCGCGCGATACAATGGGGCTGCGAGTACATCGATGTGGAACTGTGGCTGCCAGAGGAGATTAGACGGAAGCTGTCGGAAAACAAGGGATGTACGAAGATCATCTCCGCGTTTCACGACTTCTCGGGCACGTTCAAGTGGACGTCGCCTGAAACGCAGAGATTGTTCGAGTTGGGAGCGGTGTATGGGGACATTGTCAAGATGTATGCGCTGGTCACGTCGATGCAAGAGAACTACGAGCTCGAGTACTTCCGCTCCACTATACAAGCAAAGTATCCCCACCCTCCCTTCTCCGGCCTCAACATGGGTCCCATGGGCCAACTGTCGAGGACACTGAACAAGATATTCACGCCAATCACACACCCACTGCTGCCCATGATTGCAGCGCCAGGACAGCTAAGCGCAGCCGAGATCAATGCAGCGCTGCACACCATGGGCCAGATGCCCAAGCAGGACATTTATGGCATAGGCAGCTTCCGATCGACGTCGCAAGCCATGTTCTTTGAAAAGTGCTTCAACGAGCTTAGTTTGCCACATTCCTTTGGGTTTGCGGAGAGGGCGCCCAAGGCGTCGATTGAGCACATCCTCCGTCGACCTAATTTCGGTGGTGCGTACATCAACCCGCCCTTGGCAGCCTCGGCAGCGTATCTGCCATCCCTCTCTAATGCTGCTCGTGCTATCGGCCAAGTCGACACGGTGCTGGTGCGGTCAGGGACGGGCAACGGGACGTTTATTGGGGACAACACGAGGTGGAGGGGGATTCGCGCGACATTGACCCGAGATTTTGTGCCCTCTGCGTACAGCGGACAGGCAGCGCTGCTATTGGCGAGCAACGAGGGGGATGCGTCGGCGTCGATATTCGCATTGAAGAACTTGGGCATTGGCCCTATTTACACGATTGGTTTCAAGTCGCATGGACCACTGTCGACTGACGTGTCGCCGGTGCGGTCGGTAGAGGACGTGAAACGGCTGGAACAGCCGTTTGTGATCATCTCGGCTCTGCCTGCTGAGAAGTCGCTCTTGGTCGTACCCCTGCTGAAGCACTACCGGGTCGAGGGCAGGCATGGGCACACCCACGGTCACGGGCTCGCAGGAGGCAAGTCTGCAGGCAAGGTGTTTGTCGACTTGGCCAGTGGGCCTCGGAAAGGCGATCCACTGGCGATTGCCACATCGGCGGGCTGGACCGCATATGGCATGGCGGATGTGTCTGCCTGGACGACGGTGGAAACGATTCGGAAGCTGGTGGGACAGAACGTGTGTTATGATTTTGTGCGTTTAGCATCGGGGCATGGCGGGTTCTTGCGATGATTTACACTACAGTACCAACCTTTTAGTAGATAGCAGTACATGTCAATTTTACCTTGATGGCCTCTGTTCTCCATGAACACGTGAGCATGAATCATGTACATGTACACGATTACCACGGGATTACGACATTGGGATTATGAGGAAACATATGACGATGATCAGGGTATCATCAGGGCATTACACAGCATGAGTCAAGGCTTGGACAGTACTCAATATGAATCAGACGGCGTGGCCGTGGGACGTGGATGTGAACCGTGTGAAGATTTGGCCATGGTCAGTGTGGTGTGTACAGAATCATGGCGGTACGGTACATTGGTAGGACAGACGCCCAGCGGTGGCCATGGCCATGCATGTGCATGCATATAGTTGCTGTGTATCTACTGTATAGTGTCTACCTACCTACATTGTACATGCCTACATGGTACAAACCTTCATAGTACACATGCTCAGGGACGGCCAGTCATTTCATTTGCCGCCAGAAGCAGAGGGGGGACGATGAGGATGCATGGCATGGCAGCATGGCAGCATGGCAGCATGGCAGCATGGGCAGGGATAGGCGGGTAGCTCGCCGTAACGGGCGCTTCATGATTAGGGCAGTATAGAGTACATACATACATACACACAGTAGACAGACTGTTAGGTGCTATGCCTAGTAGGTAGGTAGGCAGTAATGAGACTGGCACTGGGGGAGGTGGGGCGAGGCCAAGCTGGGGTAGAGGAGGAGATGGTGTGGTGGTGTGGTGGTGTGGTGGTGGTGGTGTGGGGGAAGTTGGGGGGAGCGGACGACTTGGTAGGGTACCGTAGTGCATGATGGGAAGGGATAGCACTCATGCCTCATGGAAGGAATACAATGGGAGACTCTGACAAAGCCAAACAACTGACTCCCCTTCCCCTTCCCCTTCCCCTTCCCCCCCAAGCACTTCCAAGACAATGAAAGAAAAAAAAAAAAAGGGCCCACGGCCATGGAGAGGAGGATGACAAGTGCAAGGTTCCCACTAGTCCCAATAATCCCACTAGCTCCGCTAAGCACCCACGCTAACGTAAGCGATTGGACGTCCACGGCCTAGACTCTCTCGTACCCCGGATTTCAGACTTCTTGCCAGAACAAGAGAAGCTGGAGGGGGCCACTCGGGAGAGGGGGGGGCGGCGCAATCTATTCTCTCAAATTACATGAGGTGCCAGAGTAGCTGTACGTACTCTGCTTGAGCAGGTATGGGCGGCCAGTGGAGGGGGCAGTGAAGCACATGGGCAGGTCTGGCTGGCTGACAGGTAGGTGGACAGGCTGGCTGGTGGGCTGGGTTGGTAGGCTGGTAGGTAGTACTGTACAGTAGGTAGAGCGGGCGAGCGGGCGGAGACGGTAGGTGGTAAGAGGGTATACAATACAATACAATACAATACAGTACAGTAAACAAACAGGATCTGTGCAGCATGTCAGCCTTGCCTAGTCCCAGTCCCTAGGTAGTCATGTACAGTCTACAGTCTACAGTCTACAGTCTACAGTCTGCAGTCTGCAGTCTTCGAGTCGGTCATGTGTAGAGTAGAGGCTAGGTACTTGGATAGTTGTAGTGGTCCATGTACTAGCCATGTATGTACCGATTCTAGTACAGTGTCTGTACTTCCTACTACTCCATCTATAGACACTGAACCGAGGCTGGCATGGGGCGGCGCACCAACTGTGAGCGAAGAGCGAGTAAGATTGCGTGCTCCCGACTGCTGCCGCCTTCTTTTTCTTCTTTTCCTCCTTGACCAAACAGCTTGTACCTTACTAGCCACCCACTCCTCCGAGGCCCATTACTTCCCTCCATAGTGACGCTTATA